ATGAATGCAGTCGGTTGATTGGGAATCATAAATAAGCTTGAGGGTTTTTGCGGTTTAGTTTTTCTATTCTGCTATCGACAGTTCAGGTTTAGAGCACCTATTACTTAGTCGACTTTAGCGACCATCAATAGTTTGAAAGCGTTCCTCTGCTTGATTTTCGCTTGTGGACTCTGGTTGATTTTTTTAAAACAATCTTTGAACCTTTTTTCTGCTTCTTTGAACACCAAGAACGATTTTGTTGTTCTGTTTATTTCAAGAGATACAGTAGTAATTCTGTACTGTTCTTCAGTTTTTAAGCAAGAATTTGGAGTTTACATTATAAGTAGTAATTTTCAAAACCTATGTATGACTCTCCTTAATTCCCAACATAGTTCTTCACTGAAAATTTCTTCTCGTCAGGTCTAAAGTCTCAAATTAGTCAGCTATTTCTGCTGATTTGTTATGTTTTTCAGGTAATATACAGAATGCTTTCTTCGCGTCTTCTCCTAACTTTGATTACAATTGGTCTCGTTTTACCATGTAATAACTATGAATTCTTGTTAAAAACTTGTCTTTTATTTCAAATTTTTTTCACTTTTTGTTATTTGAAGCATCATTAAAATACCACAAAAATTTAAGATGTTTTTCTTTTACATTTTTCAATTTAGTACAACAGAAGCTTTTAAAAAAACAAATTTAGTTTTAATTAACCTGTTTGTTGACATGATTGAGTATTTTTATAGTTGCACAGATTGTACGAGCAGCTGATGAGGCTGATGGAGAAGTAGAAGACGAAAAGGAAGATACCGAAGACTCACAGCCTGCAGCTGTTGATGAAAAGGTAAGGTTTTGAGAAATTCTTGGTTATTTATAGCTGGCTGTGAATCATTTCTCTTTTTCCTTTCTTGTGCCTTCGCAGAATTTAATTTTGACGTTTTAGGCAGCCGAAGAAGAAACTGTACCAGTTATTGGTCCTTCCCCTGATGCTCATGTCTTCTTTTTGTTTACGCAGCCCGAAAATTCCAAAGGTGTTTTTCTTGCCTTTTTTAGACTTATTTCTTAGATTCAGATTTGAAATTTGGATTTTAAGTCGTATTCTTCTTCAGTTTTTACTTGGAGTAATTATTTAGATCTTCCTGGCGGTAAACTCGTTAGATTCTTGGCCGGATTTCAGAATTGGGGAGAGAAAGATTTTATAGTGAATTACTGCGAAACCTCTTTCCGTTACCCTCAAGATTACAGCTATTATGTTCAAAACGTGAGCTTAAATTTCTGTAGTTTTTTCACTTTTAAATAGTTTTTATTGCATTTTGGTAATTGGCGTGCGACAAAATATATAAACGTTTTAATTAAGTAACTTTTATCATTTCTTTTCCATCTGTCATATGTTTGCAGAGATCTATTTTAAGAATTGAGTCGTTAAAACTTAAGTTTTTTTTCTAAAATCGTTTGTTTTCAGTTTACGGCGCTGCATTACAATCGTCTGGTCGCCCCGAAACAAGAGGGTTCGTTTGACTACGCTTTCTTTCCTCCAGAGCAATTTATGGGACGCCCACTTGGGCTCGTAGTTGAATTGCATTACGAAGATTCTGACGGCACAAAATTTATTTCAACGCTGTTCAATGAGACTCTTACCATTGTCGAAGATGATTCAAACTTCAACACTGAAACGGGTTTTCTATATGTTCTCTTAGCAGCTGCGGTCGTTCTCGTTCTTTTTGCTGGCCAGCAGTTTCTTTCCAAGGTAGGGTGACGAACAGTCAGAAA